GGCGCGGCTCGGGGCTCCGGGTGCGAAAGGAGCTGCGCGGGCGCCTGGCGCAGGGCGGAGGGCGTTTGCCAGCCGCTCTCCTCTTCCTTCGAGCACATTTGCGTGGAATTTGCCGCATGACGCTGCCCGGGGAAGCGGCCCCTTTCCTCGGGATGCAGCAGTCGGCCGGTTTCTGAGCTTATTGCAGAAGCAGGACTCATCTCAAACGGGGCGGATTCCTCCCGCCGCCCCACCCCCTCGGCTGCGCGAGGCTGAGCGGTGCCGGCGCCGCGGTCAGGATCACCTGCCACCAGCTCTTCGAAGAAGTCAAACAAAGTGAATTCTCATTATTATTTATTTGTCTTCGGGATTTCGAACCGGCGGAGGCGGAGGCGGCGATCCCGGAGGATGAGCCTGAGGGAGGCGGCCGGGGCTCGGAGGAGGGAAGAGCTGAGTTTAGGCTGGAAACTGAACGACTAGGTCGCTTCCTGCTCCAACTTGCCGGCTCCTCTCCGCTCCCTTGAGTTTCGCTCCATGGACCGATCAACAAACCTGGACATTGAGGAGCTCAAGGTACGTGGTCCTGCGGGCGGTGGGCGTCCGTCTGTCTCTCCTGCTCTCTCGCTCTCCTCCCTCTTCTCCCGCGGCCTCTTCCTCCCGCCGCCGCCGCCACGGTCGGTGGCCCCCGCGCAACAGCCAGCGGGCTTTTGGGGGGAAGCAGCCCCCGGAGCGGGCGCCCCTCCGGCGCCCAGGACTTGGAGGGCCGCGCTCCGGAGCTCGGCGTGCGGTCTGGGCTGCGCGCTCTCCCTGCCGGCGCCTCCCGACGGTCCCCCTGTCCCCTCCGCTTCAGTTACAGCAGCTCTTGGGGTGCAGGACCCGGCGGGCACCCAGCGCCCGGGCACAGCAGTCACAGCGCCCGCTCTGCCCCGCCGCCTGGTTGCCCAGAGAAGTTGCGGGATCTGGGGTCCACTTCGCCTCCCGTCCCGGCTCCAAGCCCGCTTGTGCCCCCGCGCACGGGGGAAGGGGGGGCAGCGATTTCCGCCGGGAGGTTCCCACCGCTCCGTTTCCTCCCTGCGCTCAACCGGCCCCTTCTCCCTGCACCGAGCAGACCAGGTCTCACCCGCAGTTGCACTGCCCCGGGCGCGAACTCGTGGTCACAGGGGTAGGGGAGACCCGACCCGCAGCCGGTGAGGGGCCTGGAGAGGTGCCCCGGCTGGCCTGCGGTGCCAGCCCGAGCCCGGGAGTGCGCCGGCTCCTCCCGCCCCCTCCCCACGCTGGAGCCGTCGGGGAAGCGGCGAGGGGGCTGGGGGCTGGGGGCTGGAGCT